TAGAATGATACAATTAAGAAAGTATCTCCTTTTAAGCTGCCAATTATAATTTAATTTCCTATATATTTTATTAAGTATCTGATTAATCATCAGCAATGGTTACTTAAATATTTTCACTCATTTAATCTGGCTTTACTTGTAATTATTTATCATAGAAACTAATTTAACCTGGTAAAGAATGTTATGAAGGACATGCTACAAACTTTAATTAAGTCTAAGTAATCTATTTATGAGATTATTTTTTCATCAATTTTTCAATTGATTCTTCATTTTTATTTTGAACTTGTTATTGAAATTGCTATTGACTTTTCTATATAGTATTTTATTATTTTTATTTTAAAATATTATTATCTTAATATTATTTTTTTTAAATAGAATCTTCCTAATTTAGTTTCTTTGTATTATTTTATTCTTATTGAAACTAGTTAGAAATAATTGACATTTACTATGAACTTTAGGATTAATCTTATTTATTATCATCATTAAATAAATGATCTTACTTTTTAAATGAATTATTTGATTCAACTTTAATTTATTATGAAAGAATTTATGATTCTTCTTTTTATTAAATAATTGATGGTTATTTTTGTGGATAAAATTATTCTTATGATTAATATTAATTAAATGAGTGTTATTGATTTGAATAATTTCGTTAACTAGATTAATGTGATTATGATCTTTATTATTTAATATCTCCAGAATATCCAGATCTACCTGATTATCTAGATTATCTTGATTAAACATCTTATAATTTATCAATTTATAAATCATCTAATTCACTATGAGAAACTGGTTATTTTTTAATTATCATTGACTCAGCTCTTGATTTTTTAGCCTCTTCCTATTATTAGCTAGATTTTCTGTTATGAAATCTTTCATTTACATTCACATTTTCTAAACTATTAATATCATTAAAAAACATAGACTATTAATTATTTGTTATTTTTGATTATTCAAAATGTGGAGAATTATTTTAATTATCTCTTATAAATGAATCATCTTATTTTTTTTTCAATTCACTTTTTAATACATCACTTACTGATTTAATAAATTCTTATTGAAAACTTTCTGATTATTATTGAGGATAACTTTCCTATGAATCTATAGAAACATTAGTTTTATATCCTAGTCTACTTTATGATATTTAATTATCATCTTCTAATTATTATTATTATATTTTAAGTTATTCTAATTCTCTTTATTATTGTTCTATTAATTATTACATATATAATTATTATTGTTAAATCAACTTCATTTGAGTATCATCATGAATATCTAATTTATCAAAATCAGTTTAAGATTAACTTCTTTTATGTCTATGAAATTTCATTTGACTAGATTAATTGGATTCAATTTAATTAAAAATAGCTGTATTTCTCATATCTAAAGCAAAATCTTATTAACAGAAACTTAATTTTTTGTTGTGATCATTTTCTTATTATTATATTATCTACTATTATTAAGATTAATGTGATTATTATAATTATTAAATTTATAGAAATTATTATTAATATGATTCTTTTTAAATTGATGATTATTTTTAATTATTTTATTCTTATTAATCTCTATGTGATTATTATGGAGTAATTTATTGAGAAGCAACCTAATTTATTGAATTAATTGATATTCTCTAAGAAACAGGTTATGATGATTATTTGGATTTTCTTGAATCTCTTGGTTATGAAAATTCTTTAATTTATCTAGATTCCCATAATTATTATTATGAATATTAAGATGAATCTAATGGTAATTATTCTGTTTATTAATTATCAAATTTTTATAATTTATTTCCTTCACTTTTTATTTTATTTTAATCTTCAAGTTAAAACTATTATTAAAACTTTTTTGAACCTTCAGATGATTTACACCTTGATTATTAAGATGATTTTGAATGTTATAAATTTTAATGACTCTTGACTTATTTTGATTGTACAGATTATCTAGATTAATCCAATATTGATTTCTTATTTTACTCAACTGATTGTTCTTTTTGATATTATTAAGATTTATTAATAATTTAGTCTATATGATCTTTTGGTGAAGAATGCTATTTTTCTTAAAATAATTCACTCCTTTAACTAGAATGTTCTTCACTATCTAATATTGGTTAATAAATTCGACTTTATTAAGACTAAACACTTTTATTCTAATCAAAGGGTTTTATAAATTGAGTTTGAAGTTTTTTTATTTCTTCAACATAAGCTGATTAACTTAATTTACTTGATGATTTATTAATAATTGATTCTTTCTTTATTGAACTTTAGATTAAGTATTACTATGAATTAGAATGAGACTTTCTTGTATTTTATTAAGGTTTATTAGATTTTTTATGTTAAGATTGTTCATTTTAATCTATATCTCTCAATTATCCTTTATAATAATTTATTAACTAAATGCTATTCCTTTCAGGAGATGAATGCTATTTACTTCCATGTAGAGCATCAGATATTTTCTAATATGATGTTGACATAGAGTTTTGAAAATATTTATAATTTGATAACTTACTTTTTTTTTCAGGACTTGGAGAAACATTAGTTTATTTTAATATAGGTTCCTATCTTTAAAATTGGATTTCAAATAAGTCTTCTATCTCCTTAATATTATTAAGGGATATAGGTTGTCTAATTTAAATTGGATTTTTATGATTACTATATGGAACTACAATAATAAAATAAAATATACACATTAAATCTTTAGGAGAAGTACAATTTTTAACTAATCCATTTTGAAAAATTTCAATCAATTCTCCAAATCTCCACATCCCTTTAGCCCATTATAATTCATCTTCCTTAAATAAATAAATGCCTCTTCCATGATATTTACCATTTTCAAAGAAACCTTAATAAATTTCCCCAGATGCTTATTATATTCTACCTAAACCATTCAAAAAACCATCCTTAAATTATCCGCATTGAAATAATCCATTTTTAGGTACAAATATACCTAATCCATTAGGTGATACCTTATTTGCAGCATTCTTTCCTGTTATACCATAGAATGTTCCATCTAACCAATCTATTGTTTACAAAGCACTCCTATTGTAACATTAAACACTTTTTAAGTTTGGAATTTCAAATGATTAATCTCTTTAACTAAGACCTCGTGTTGGTTTGCCATCTTGGAATGCTATTGTAACTTCTCCTTATTTGAAATAGGCAGTCATGTTTCCATTAGGTAAACCGTTGAGCCATTTACCATAATATTTTGCTTGTCTTGTCTATATGAAACAATTTCCATGTAATTTTGCTGAATTAAATTATCCTTATATAGTTGTTTTTGGAGGCAAGAAAAGTATTCCATTACCATCTATTTAATCTGATTTCCATTCACCAAAATAGGCAGATCCATTCTCCCATAAATAAACTCCAATTCCTTGTTTATATCTAGATTGTAATGTTTATCCTTGGTATATTCCATCTTTGAATTCAAGTTGAGTTATTATACTATTGCGCATTGCCGTTAATATTATAATATTAGGAGGGGAAAATAATATATAAAAATTTAAATTCTGTAATGCCTAGAGAAATCATCACACTTTAAGTTGGATAATGTGGTAATCAAAGTAAGTTTATAATGAAATACTTTTAGTTGGTATTGAGTTTTGGAAATAATTAATCAAAGAGCATGGTATAAATAATGAGGGAATTTTGGAGGAATTTGCACTCTAAGGAGATGATAGAAAAGATGTGTTTTTCTATTAAGCTGATGATGAACATTACATACCACGAGCTTTATTGATAGACATGGAACCTAGAGTTATCAATTATATATAGACATCATAATTTTCTACTCTCTTCAATCCTGAGAATATATTTATTTCAAAAGATGGAGGTGGAGCAGGAAATAATTGGGCGTGTGGTTATTCATAAGGAGAAAGATATTAAGAAGAATTAATGGAAATGATAGATAGAGAAGCTGATGGATCAGACAGTTTGGAAGGATTTCTAATGCTTCATTCAATTGCTGGTGGTACAGGTTCAGGATCAGGATCTTATATTTTGGAAAGATTGAATGATCGTTTTCCAAAAAAAATCATATAAACATACTCTGTTTTCCCCAATCAAAATGAAACAAGTGATGTTGTTGTTCAACCCTATAATTCTTTACTTACTCTTCGTAGATTAGCCTAAAATGCAGATGCTGTTGTTGTATTAGACAACACTGCTTTAAATAGAATAGCTGTAGACAGACTCAAAATACCCATACCAACTGTATCTCAAACCAATTCTCTAGTGGCTATGGTTATGGCAGCTTCTACAACTACACTTAGATATCCTGGATATATGAATAATGATTTAGTTAGTATCTTGGCTGGATTAGTACCAACACCTAGATGTCACTTTTTAATGACTGGATATACTCCTTTGACTATTGATAGACATGTATATTTCATATCCAAATTTAGATTTCATCTGTAAGAAAAACAACAGTCTTAGATGTCATGAGAAGATTACTTTAGACTAAGAACATCATGGTTTCTACATCTACTAAGAATGGAAGTTACATTTCAATTTTGAATATCATTCAAGGAGATGTTGATGCTACTCAAATCCATAAAAGTTTGTAAAGAATTAGGGAGCGTAAATTGGCTAGTTTTATTGAATGGGGTCCTACTTCAATTCAAGTAGCACTTTCAAAGAAGAGTCCATATATTGAGACTTCTCATAAAGTTAGTGGACTTATGTTAGCTAATCATACAAGTATCCATTCAGTATAATATTTATGATAATTATTTAGCTTTTTGATAGAATATTGAAATAATATCACAAATTGAGAAATAGAAATGCTTTCCTTGATTAATACAAAAAAGAACCTATGTTTAAGGATTCTCTTGATGAATTTGATGAATCAAAAGAGTGTTTAGAATCTCTAATTAGTGAATATAAAGCAGCTGAATCAAAAAACTATTTAGATTGGGGTAATGATGATAATATGAGAATCGAAGAGCAACAGTGAAAATATATATATTTTTTATTAATTAAAATAAATGGGTAATTGTACTAAAATGTGCTATGTTAGTGATGGTGTACAATAAATTACAAAAAAGGAAGAATTTGCAATTGATACTGGAATAAAGAGTGATGATTTGATTATGCATTCAACTCAAGGAAAATCTAAAGAAAATAAGGATGATTAATATTCATAGTGCTCGAATAAAAGTGCTCTTCCTTAAATAATTTCAATTGAAGATGAACTCTTAATTTAATCTACTTTGAATTCAAGTGTTCCTCTGAAATTGAGAAAAATATTAATGGAAGATGATGCCTACTATGAGGGAGAGTGGATGTAAGGTAAACGTTGGGGATAGGGAGAATAAAGATGGCCAGATGGGTATGACTTATCTTAATTTGAGTTTTTAGATCAATTTACATAGGGGAATGGAAGAACAATAAAGCAAATGGGTATGGTGTTTTGACTCATTCTGATGGAGATGTTTACAAAGGAGATTGGTTAAATGACTAAGCTCATGGAAAAGGAGTCTATATAAACTTTAACCAAGCTAAATATGATGGGGACTGGGTGAAAGATAGACAAGAAGGGCATGGTATTGAGAGCTGGCCAGATGGGTCTATTTTTGAAGGTAGTTTATTAAGAAATATATTATAAGGAAATTACAAATAAGGAAAAAAAGAAGGTTTTGGAAAGTTATCTTATCCAGATGGCTCAACATATGAAGGCAATTTTTAAATGAATAATCTTCATGGTTAAGGAAAATACATTTGGCCTGATGGGAGAATATATGAAGGAGATTGGATTAATAATTAAATGAATGGGAAGGGTATAATGAAGTGGGAGGATGGTATGGAATGCAGATTATCTAGGGAGATAGTATGAGGGAGAATATAAGGAAGGATAGAAACATGGTTATGGAACATTGATATGGGAGGATGGTCATAAATATGTGGGTTAATGGGTAATGGGAAAATAAGAAGGGATAGGTGAATATTTCTTTACAAATGGTATTTCTCGTAAAGGAGTGTGGAAAGAAGGCAAACGAATCTAATGGGATTGATTATTTAATAAATACTATGTAAAATCATAATCCTAATGATGAACTCAATTTAGAGAATGATAAGTTTTCTAAATAGTTGGATCAGGATGGTAATCAAAAATGATAATCTATCTAGAACGTATTTTGTTGTCATGCAACTTGTTTAAGTTTAATGATTACAAGAAGAGACAAGAACGTAGTTTGCTGGTGTCAACTAAGAATGTCATAAACCTTAAAGGCACATGTATCATCTTTATTAATGTTCCATCATTAGCTATCAAGAGAAAGATTCCTTATAATAAGATTAAGGCTATCACATTGTCCTCTATCGGTACTGAATTCGTAATCCACGTTCCAGATGAATACGATTACAGATATAGTAGTTATGACAAGTAAGTAATTACCTAGATCATTAATAGACGCAATAAAATCGTGTCCAAGATCTTAGAAGGCTATTCTTTATTCACTAAAGCTAAACTAGCAATGTATTATAATCATATATATTGTATTTAGTTATTTTAAAGAGGATGTATCATTATACAATTATGCTACTACAAAAAGTGATAAGAAGAAGCATGTCTCTAAGATCCCTTCAGAATAACCTTAATATATGGATAATGAGATGTTTGCTTAAATCTTAGAAGGAGAAACTAAAGAAAAAGATGATGCAAGAAAGAAAACTTAAACTTTATGGGCTAGAGAGAAAGGCAAAGAAGTAACATTAGATGACTTCTCAATTCTGAAAGTCTTAGGCAGAGGAGCATTTGGGCAAGTGATGTTGGTTGAGAAAAAAGACACTGGAGAATGGTTTGCTATGAAGACAATAAGAAAAGAAGATATTATTGAAAAGGATTAACTTGAACACACAAAAACAGAAAAAATGATTTTGGAACATGTAAATCATCCATTTTTAGTCAATTTGGCATATGCATTCCAAACTCCATAAAAATTATTTTTTATTATGCAATTCATGAAAGGAGGTGAATTATTTTAACATTTAAGAATGGCAAGAAAATTTGATGAAAAAAGAGCTAAATTTTATGTTGCAGAATTATTGTTAGGATTAGGACATCTACACAGTAAAGATATTGTTTATCGTGATCTTAAATTGGAAAATATATTAATGGATGATGTAGGAAATGTATTCTTAACAGATTTTGGAATGGCTAAAATAGTACGTAAAAATGAATTGGCAATGACATTCTGTGGTACTCCTGAATATCTTTGTCCAGAAGTCATTCTAGGATATGGTTGTGATAAAACAGCTGATTGGTGGAGTTTAGGCATTCTTACATATGAAATGATGTATGGTTTGCCTCCATTTTACAATAAAAATTAAACTATTATGTTTAAATTGATTAAGGAAGCTGAACTAAGATTTCCTGAAAGACCAGAAGTCAGTAAGGAAGCTAAAGATTTCATTTCAAGAGTAAATCTATATATTATAATAGTTACTTATAAGAGATCGATTTACAAGATTAGGAGCTAAGGGTGATTTCTAAGAGTTAATTGCACATCCTTGGTTTAAAGATATTAATTGGGAATAGTTGATTTAAAAAAAAGTACCTACTCCTTACAAACCAAGAGTTTAAGGAGAATAATGGTTGGATGGTTTTGATAAAGATTTCACAAGTGAAGGTAATATTTCACATAAAATAAAATAGATCCAAATAAGGTAATTGATGATGATCACTCAAAACCTTAAAAAGATTACGATTAACAATTCAAAGATTTCTGAAATATATTCACATATGGATTAAGTCATTTATTAATACCTTTATAAAACTATATTTAATTAATATTATTTTACAAATTACATAAATAAATATAAATAAGAAATCTAAAAATCTTAAGATAATTTACAATTTTGAAATCTCATCTAGATATTTTACTAAATTATTAGAAAATGGAAGTTTGCTAATTAGTGTCAAATTTTATTTGCTATAAAGATAGGCTCATCAACTATGAATATTAGAACTTGAAATATATGCTCTTATCTATATATAGCATATATTTCAAGTTCTAAAACAATGATTATTTATGAGAATCTTTATGGTTATCTGTATATAATTTGTAACTCTATTCTAAAACTATTTTTACATTATATCTCACTCAATTCTTTGAAAACTTGGTTATATTTTGATTTATGTTCCTATTTACTTATTAGAATGAGTGTAAAATCATTAGAATAACAAACACCCATTTTAATTATATTTATACATAATATAAATATATAAATATGTTATTTTCAAAAGTCTGCATCTTCACCATCATCATCTAAATTTTCAATTCCATCATCATCTTCTTCTTCCTCTTCTTCTTCATTTTCACCACCACTTAAATCATCTATATCATCTACTTCTCCATCTTCATCCATTTATTATTTATTAAAACCACCATGCTATTATCTCATAAATTCGTTATTTCTTTTCTCTTAATTGCTTGATTGTAATCTAGAATCATCTCCTAATTATTCTAACTAATCATCATTTCCATCATCATCTCTACCTCTTAAATCAATTATTTGTGCCTTTTCAATTGCACCTTTGAATCCTTATAATACTTAGTCTTTCTTTTTCTATTATATTTCTGCTTATTTATTTTGAGCATCTAAAACATGTTCTAAATATACAAGATTTCTAAATTTCTCAACATAAATCTATAAAATATAAATATATAATTTACTTAATATAACTTTTCTAATTCATATTCCTATCTATCATATTCTTCTTAATAAGCAGGTTTAACACTAGTCATTCCTTTCAATCTTTTTTCAGCCTATTCTAATTCCTTTGTCTTTCTCTTTATTTTTTCTTCAATCTATTTTTGTTCTCTTTCTAAACCACTTACATATTTAGACATATCTTCTATGCTTTATTCTTATTATTTCAATATAGTTTAAATGCATTTTTAAATATAAGATTATTCAGATTGTGAATTCCCACTTCGAGATACATTTGATAAGAATTATAAGGCTTTTTCCTAACTATAAAATTTGAACTAATACTCTTGCAACTCTCACTTCATCCTCTTTTCCTAATTAATCATATAATCTTGTGGCTAAATCAGTTATTTCTTATGCCAATACCTTATGACTCTTAATATTACTTAATTTAGAGGGTAGTGACTTGGAAAAATCAGATTAATATGTTTACGAAATCATGCACTTCATCCTCTTCTGCAGGTGAAGAGATTTATGCTTTATATAAAAAGGTTGAAATTTTCAAAATTTCTTGAACTGCATAAACATCAGCCATATATAACCTTTTTGGATTTATCTTGAGTCTAGCTTTACTAACAAAAAGAGTAGTAACCTATTTTATAAATTCAACTCGATGACGCTATATTATTATTTACACTAATTACTTCTTCATCAATATTGTCAGATATGTCTGTATTAGGGTCATACTTTAAGGCTAACCAATATAAGATATCAGCAACTAATTCAAAATTAGGCCTCCTAAAGTTTTCCATTGAAATAATTCTATGATATCCTAAAGCCCTCATTTATTCACAGAAGTTACGAAGTTCTCTATATGACATTTATTTATATTAATATTTGAAATTATAACTTTTTTAGCTTAAGAATCACTTTATATGATGAGCATGATATTTATTGTATTATTTAGTTATTTATTCTCTTTCCTTTTGTTTTGCCTTAAATATATGTATTTAATTCTTAATCTACTTCTTATTCATTTTTTACATTGTTCTTAAGATCAGGAATCCCTCTATAACAATATTTATATCTTCTTAGATACATTAAATATAACCTTCATTTCACAAGTACCACAATAGAATCAAAGACTTAATTATACCATTCAAATTTTAATTCTAATTTTACAAATATTAGATATGCTTCTCTTTATTTTAATCTCAAATATTAGTCAAACCATTTATTTATTTATAAACTTTTAATTTTAAAGAATTCACTAATATATAGAAACGAACTCAATTTTTCATTTAATCAGTCAATTTAAGTCAATTTTTGATATTACACATTAGAAAATTGATGAGTTTCTAATTAAAATATAATTTGATATATAGTTTCCTAGCCATATATATGTTACATTTTTAATTTAATATATCTACCTGAATGATCAAATTTGATTAAATTATCAACTTATTTTATAACGATTATACAAAAAAATCTAGTTTATTTTAAATCTTTATATCTAGTAATTTAATCAATCAAAGACCTATAACCATAATAATTAGCTGGATATTATTTCTAATATGATATTCATCATTCAAATTAAAATAAATTTTAATTTTATTTCTGGAATTTCAATCTGCTTCCTTCAATTATATTATATTTTGAATTAAATAAAAATCAATACTTAAGAAATGATGTTTTTAAGATAAAAACTAAATTGAATTTAGTATATCAATATTCTTAGTTTCTAAAAAGTTCTCTCTTTTGTATTGATTTAAGTCATATATGAAAATTTAATTAGACAATTCATTAATAAAATCAACTTAATGTTATAAAATAATTCAATTTATTATTAATTATTCATTTTTGAAATTTGTTCAATAGAAAGTGGATCTATTTACTTTAACATTATTTAAGTAAATGAATACTAAACAAGTAAAATGAATCAATATTCTTAATAAATTAATAATAAGAACAATGAATCTTTTTTTGATATCGATATTCATTTGATTATTAATATTATTAAATAAGATCAAATTGAATGATTTATCAAATGAATAGTGGAAAATTTTGGAATAACTAAAATATTCCATAATTTGATCATAATGAGACTTAGAAAGTTATAATCTCAAATTTCTATAAATTTGGTAAACGATTAGGTTAGAAGTGCTTACGTCAGTACATCTTAATTCGACAATACTTATTATATTCAGATGTTGGCAATTTTAAAAATATTAAAGGAAGTGTTAAATTAGATAGTGTCTATGCATAATTTTAAATATCTAATTCAGATTGTCAGATATATCTAAAAAATAATGGATTTCAAATTGTTTTATGCACAGATGATACTAATCAATATCAATTATGGGCCAAACTTTTATCTAACTGTTGTATACTTAATACATTTAATGAGGATATAATCTTGGGAAAGTTGATTGGAAATGGAAGCTTTTCAACAGTAAATAAGTATATTAATAAGGTTTATGAGGGGAGAAATAAAGAAGGTCATCTATTTGCAATTAAAGCAATACCTAAAAAGAAATCTAAATTATAGACTATTAACAAGTAATATGAAGAGCAGTTATTAAGTGAAATTTCAAGTTTAAGAGAGTTAGACCATGAAAACATTCTAAAGCTTCATAGAGTTTATGAGACAACCGAAAAACTATATTTAGTTACTGAATTTATTCATGGTTATGAATTAATCTCAAAAGCTGCCAGCAAACTTATATATTAAGGATCAGAGATGAAAAGCTTTATTCATCAAATGCTCTTGGCAATAAAAGATATGCATGAACATAACATTATGCATAGAGATATTAAACCATAGAATATCATGTTAAAAAATGGCCAGCTATCATAACCATGTCTTATTGACTTTGGGTTGGCTGTAAGTACTAAGAAAAAAGGATTTCCATTTCCATCCTGTGGATCTCCTGGGTATAATTTAGTTTAATTTTCTTAGTTACTCAGCCCCAGAAATAATAAGATTTGATGAAACAAAAAAAGAATATAGTGGAAAGTGTGATATTTTTAGTTTTGGCATAACATTATTGGTTATGTATATCTATTTAATAATATTAGACTCTATGGATTTAACCCATTTAAAGCATAAGATTAAAAATAAACAATTAAGAAAAATGCTAATGCATATTTTGAATTTCCTAGTAGCATTTATCCACAGGAATGTATGAAATTTAAATTAAACTATATTTAGTAGAACATTTGATTTTATAGATGACAAAAAAATATCCAAAGGATCGTATCACTGCTGAGTAGGCTCTTAACCATCCGTTTTTTTAGATTAAACTTTCTTAAACAATTCAATTGCCCAAGGCCATCCTAACAAAATAGTAATATGAAATGAATAAAAACTACAATAATATTAATGTTCATGCTAGTTTAGAAATGGACAGAGAGTTTGGATTGAATTATGGTATACAACTAAGTAGTTGTTCTCCTTAAAATAATAAAAATAGAACTTGCACTTTATCAAGCAATCCAAATAAATTACAATAAATTGATGAATTTCAATTGGACTGTGTTGAAGAGTCGATTGATATAACTCATTTAGATAAGCTTAAAATGGGTCAAAGACATTTTTGCAAATAGAAGTCATAAATCAATGTTCAATTTTGATAAAACTTCATTATTTGTTAACTGCATAATACTTTAAATAACAGACATAATTAATTATATTAATAAATGAATTAACAAAGGGATCTTCTAACAATGCCACTTGTGTTTAATGTCATCAATATAAAAACAAAGGATCCAAACATCTTTTCATTAACAATTGAAGGCAAATTAACACTCTTACACAAATTGATAAGTTCTGTTGATAATGTTAAATAAGTTGTAAATTCAAAAGATTAAGAAGGTAAAACTGCTTTATTTTATGCTTGGTAATATTTCAATTGATATTTAGCTATTTTAATTTCCAAAATATTGTAATGTTTCTATTAATGAAAGGAGCTGATCCATTTATTATATCAACATCCGGTTATAATGTCTTTTATATCTGTGCTTATAGAGGACACATCGAATGTCTTTAGATTATATATTAAATGTTAAGACATAATTTGAATATGACTTCTATAGAAGAACTTAAACTTACAATGAAAAAATATAGATTCAAAAAAACAGATTCTCATCATGGAGAATTAACATGTTCTGATAAACATTTAAAATAAGTTCAATAAAGATTTTAAGCATTTTAAACAGAGGTTCACGATCAATATTAAAAATATTTGGATTAAAATTTATTACATTTAAATAAAGCAATCGTTACAAATGATTAATACTAAAGAAATCCTATTCATTATGCAAGTTTATCAAAATACACAAAATGTATATAATGTACAAAGTATTTAACTTTGTATGGATTAAAAATATAAGGATGGGAATTCTTTTATGATATGTTTATGGAAGTATAACTATTAGAGTCATCTTCAGATAAAAAAATTGATCCTAGATAATATATGCATTATAATGAATTAGCATCTAATTTCATTGAAAAGTATTTTTTAGAATAATAATAATATAATTTTATGAAAAAAATAAAGGGAATACAAAAAGATTTAGCAAATCAATAAGATAGTGATGGTTATGTATAATAATTATAATTGATTTAAGACTCCTATGCATATTGCATCATTTGCTGGTGATTTTGCTGCAATTCAATTTCTATTATCAATAGGAGGAGATCCAAAAATAAAATGCAGAAAAAAACTATTAGATGTATTAGAATATGCTTCAAATGATTCTGTTAGAAAATATTTGATGGATCTAAAGAATGCTGCTAAAGAAGGGGATGAAAAGAGTTTCACATTATTAGTCAATTGTGGATAGAAAGTTAATGGAAAAGCAACTATATATGGAATAGCTCCAGTTCATAATGCAATTGAACACACTCATAAAGTCTAAAATAAAGCAATGTTAGATAAAGTATTAGAAATGGAAGCAGATGTTAATGTTATAGACACAAATGGTTGGACTCCATTGCATCATGCAGCTTTTTATGGAGAATTGGATGCTATTACTACATTATTTGAAAGAGGAGCTATTTAATCCATTTTTTCTAATAAAGGATATTATCCTTTACATGCAGCAGCTATTAATAATTAAGCAAAAGCAGTTAAGTTATTGATTGAATTGAGCAAAAAATAAAAAGATAAAAGTATAAATAAAAAAGATACAGGATAATTTGATAGAGGAGCACATCCTGATTGTTAAGATGATTAATTATGTACTCCAATGCATTTAGCAGCAAAGAAAGGTTTTGCAGAAGTTGTAAAAGTATTATTTGAAAATGGAGGCAATATATATGCATTAGATAATAGAGATTGGACTCCACTTCATTATGCATCATTTAATATGCATAAAAATGTAGTTCATATGTTGAGTAGATATGATTCTGATGAAGATAAATATAGTACAATGCGTACTACAAAAGGGTAAACTGCTGATCAAATAATGACAAATTCAGATGTGAAGTTTGCATTTAAAAGTAAAGCATTAATCATGATAAGATAGCTTTGTGGGGAGCTGCAAGAGATGGTGATCTTGATACTGTAAGAAAACTTGTTACTTTGAAACATGATATCAATGAATAGAGTTATGTTAATTAATTTACTCCACTAATTTTGGCAACAAGAGGAAATCATTTCCTTGTTGTTAAATATCTTCTATCTTAAAAGGTTGATACAACATTAAAAGATAAATGTAAATTTATTATTTATGTAGATGGTAATACTGCCTTGGATTATGCAGTGAAGCAGTAGAACTAAAAATTGAGGGAGTTATTGCAAGGTTAATGAAATATTAATAATCTAATATTAATTCAAATTACTATAATATAGAATACATATATTTATTTTTTATTAAAAATTTAAATTATAAAATACATATCAATAAGTGTTGACTATGATAATAAAGTAGATTTTAATGATATTTTACTGTTAAATGTGTTTAAATTTAATAATTATGAAGTGATACAATAATTTTAATACTCTGAAAAGAATGGAATAAAAAAGTTAGATTTATTAAGTTTGAATTGATCCTATTAATATCTATTAAATTCTAAGTAATCTTTTTACTTAAAGAAAAATAAATTGTAGGACAAAATGATAGATGCAAAAATAATTAAGAAGGTTGTTTACATTTTATAAATATAATATAATAATATCTTATTGAGTTCAGATGAGTTTAGAATTTTTTTAGTTTCAAAGAGCAAAAGAGTTTGATTTATAAGATTAGATTTTCAGGTTTAAAGCTGCTTAGCTATTTCATTTTAGATGAAAAATTTATTTTATATATGAATATCCAAGCATTTTTGGTTCTAATAGTACTGCTAGCAGTCGGAACGAAGACTCAATCTGTTTCTACAGATGAAAAGTGCACATGTTCAACTGTTAAATCGAAATTTGACTGTGTCGCGTTAGGGTGCACTTTCACTCCATCTACAACAACAACAGCAGCAACATGTACATCAACACCAACTGCTCTTGCTGTTGTAAGTGTGTATTGTGGTTCCATCTCTACACCAGTCACGAACTGTCCTAAAACTAGAGGATGTGCTTTCTATGATGGGAAATGCTAACATTTTAGTGGATGTCAAGCCTTTCTTAAAACAACTACTTCAGATTGTTAAGCAATATCAACTTATTGTATATCTGATGGAGTTTCTTGTATTGACCCTAAACCTTGTGAAAGCTATCAAACTTAGACTATATGTAATACTAATGTTAGTGACACTTCTACTTAACTTTGTATTTGGGATGAAACTGTCACTCCAAAATGCAGGGCATAGAAGTGTAGTGAAGCACCTCAGACACTTAAAACAGATATAGAATGTGATAAATTTAAGACTGGATGTGTTACAATAGGATTAGGATGCGCAGATTAAAGGTCTTTATGTTCTGAATATAAATCGGATTGTTATAATATGATAGGATTAGATGGTGTTTGTGGTTCAGCTGCAGATGGATCATGTATATAGAGAAGTTGTGATTCTGCTCCTTAAGAATATACAACAGATGATTAATGTAATTCATATGTATAAGGATGCATTACAAATGGATCAGGATGTTCTAATAATCCATTACCTAGTTGTTCAGAATATAAACTAGATGCATTTACATGTTTGAAGAGAATGGGAAGTGATGGAAATTGTGTTGGAACATCATAGAATGTATGTTAAGTAAGAACTTGTGAAAATGCTCCAGCAGAATTTTTCTCAACAATATTATGCAATTAATATTTATCAGGTTGTAAATTTAATGGTATAAATTGTGTAAGTGAATTACAGAATTGTTCTGCTTATACAGGAACAAAAGATACTTGTGCTAAATATATAGGTTTGACAGGATAATGTTGGGGAGCAGCTACAAATGATTCTACTTCTAATTGTAGAAATAAGATGTGTTCAGATGGAGAGACAAGTTATAATACAGATAAATTATGTTCAGATTTCTTAACAAATTGTTATACAAATGGTTAAGGATGTACATCAGAGAAAAAAGCATGTTCAACATTTTCAGGTACAACTACTACATGTAGTAAATGGATTGGATCAGATGGTAAATGTGAAGGAACTGATCCAACTACTGATAAACCATGTTCAGCTAGAGTATGTGTTAATGCTAAAGGTGACAATTATATGACTAATGAAAATTGTAAAGCATATTAATTTGGTTGTTTATCTAATGGTAGTGGTTGTGTTTAAAGTGATACATGTTTGGCTACTTAAAAATAATTAACATGTACTGGAACTCCTGATTGTTTATGGGGTGGTATATGTGTAGATTCTGAATGTTCTAAATACACTTCAGTAAGTATGTGTATCAACAATTTAGCAAAGGGAAGACCTTGTATTTGGAATGGTACTATATGTAGAGAAAAATTATGTAATGAAGCTGATAAGGCAACACATACATCAGATGAACAATGTGGAAAGTTTATGGCTAGATGTGTTTATTCAGGTGATGGATGTTAAGATTCTAATGTTGATTGTACATATTTTAGAGGTGATAAAACTACTTGTCCTAATTTTATAGCCAAATAATAAAAATGTTGGTCAACTAGTGAAACTAAAACATCTTGTATAATTAGATAATGTTCACATAATACAACTGCTACTTCTGATTAAGATTGCACTACTTTTCTTGAAGGATGTGTTACTAAAGGTACAGGATGTATAAGTGTTTCTGAACCTTGTTCTTCTTACATAGGATCAATTGAATAATGTAAATTATTTAAAGGTGAAAATGGAACTAAAAAATGTTATAAAGAAGATACTAATTAATAATGTAGAAATATTAAATGTTCTGATAATTCAACTGCTACAACTGATAGTGAATGTGATTCACATTTAACTGGTTGTTTAACAAAAGGTAATGGATGTGTAACTCCTGATACTCTATGTTCATAATATCCTGGAAATTCATCAGAAATATGTTCCAAATTCCTTGGTAATGGAATTCCATGTTGGTGGGAAAGTGGTAGTAATTGTGTAGATAAAAAATGTTCTCATAAAACAACAGCTTCTGGTATGGATGATTGTGCATCTTTTCTTAAAGGTTGTGTTTATAATGGAACTGGATGTTAAGATAAATCTTTAACATGTAGTACATATACAG